GAGTATGTAATGAGGTATTTGTAATGATAAGTCACCTAGTAGTATGTGAGTTGATTTAATATACCTAAGATTTGCATCTGACCCTACCTCCTCCATTCTTATCAATAAAGTCATGAACACTTATGTAAACTGGGTCTTATGTAAAGCTATGAGTGTGGCAGCTAGTTTTAAATGCCAAGTTCACAAACTCAGTTTTAATAGAAATCAAAATTGAAGTATAAAAAGTACTTTGAAAAAACAAACATGTCTCCTGAATTTTGATGGAGATATGTTTATCTCTAACTCCTGTATAGAGAAGGTAAGGTAGGCAGATAATTCAAGGATACTCATCACAGTTAGGAAAGAACAGCTAGGACTGGTGTATAGTTTAAGTAGTAGGGGATTTGTCTAGTATGTGGAAGGCCTTGAGTTAATTCTCCAGCTCTGGAATAAAAAATGAAGAACTAGAATCTACTTCCTTTGTGAGCATCCTGCCTCCTTTCTGTCTTAATCTCTTTCTCACAGATCCCCAATTCTCTTCCTTTCTTTTTCAGAAAAAAAATATTTAAAGAATTAGAGAATACAATGCATTAATGCTTACAGCTCTCATAACTATTGAATTCATAACTGTTAAGACATGGTATGGAGAGGGGGCATCTTTGGGAAATGACTAGCATATAATAATAGAGTCCTCATAAATAGGGTTAATGTCCTTATGAAAGAAAGATCCTTATATAAAAGAGACCCTCATCTCTTGCCACACGAGGACAAAGCAAAAAGACTGCTCTCTGAACCAGAAAGTAGGCCCTCACCAGATCCTGAATTTTCCAGCATCTTGATCTTGGACTTTCCAGCCTCCATAAGAGTGACAAATAATGTTCTCTTTTCCATAAACCATCCTAATTTATATTTTGTTGTAGTAGCCAGAATGAACTAAGGCAAGAAGACAGCCAAATACATTATTTGTCTTTCCAAAGAAATCAGTGTAAGAGAAAAAGGAGAATGAGATCTTTCAGAAGAATGAAATTTTAAACATGGTGACTATATAATTTTCATAATTTCTTTTTTTTAATTTTTTATTCATTTATTCACATATACATACATTGTTTGGGCCATTTCTGCCCCCTGCCCCCCCACACCCTCCCTTTCTTGCTTCTAGGCAGAAACTGTTCTGCCTTTACCACTAATTTTATTGAAGAGAAGACATAAGCAATAATAAGAAAGACAAAGTGGTTTTGCTAGTTGAGATAAGAATAGCTATACCGAGAGATTCCTGGCATTGCTTCCATGTACAAATGTGTTACAACCCAAGGTGATTCATCTCTACCTGACCTTTTCACTAGTTCCTGATCCCCTTCCCATATTGATCTCTGTTGTTTTAAGGTTTCTCTATTAACTCCTCTGCAGTGGGAACATCAAACACTTTAATGTTTTGGGTTTCCTACCTGTCCTCACACCTCCCATATGTGCTCTCCCCTTAGCGTGTGACCCAAGTCCAACAACGTTGCTGTATTTGCCCTAGATGTAAAGTCCGCATATGAGGGAGAACATAATGATTTTTGGTCTTCTGAGCGTGGTAACCTCTCTCAGAATGATGTTCTCCAGTTCCATCCACTTACTTGAGAATAATAAGGTTTCATTCTTCTTCATGGCTGAGTAAAACTCCACTGTGTATAAGTAACACATTTTCTTAATCCATTCATCTGTAGTGGGGCATCTTGGCTGTTTCCATAACTTGGCTATTGTGAATAGTGCTGCAATAAACATGGGTGTGCAGGTGCCTCTGGAGTAACCTGTGTCATATTCCTTTGGGTATAGTCCCAGGAGTGGGATTGCTGGATTATATGGCAGATCTATGTTTAGATTTTTAAGAACCCTCCATATTTTTTGCAGAGTCTTAAATTTAAATTTCTAAGACAAAAAGAATAACTCATTTTAAAGATACTAAGTTTTTAAGTGCCTACTGAGTTAGATACATAACAGATGTATTGTTTAAATTATATCCTAAAATATGCCTATGCAATAAATATTATATCTCCATTTTACAAATAAGCAAACAGGAGATCAGGAGGATTGTTGTTTTCATTAACAAATGAGTCGACCAATAGTGATGAAACAGATGATAGGAACCCACCTCTCTGTGGGGCACTGGAATAGGAGTTACATTGTTAGAGGACTGTTACTACTGTTAAAGCAATGTTTATTATAAACCCTTGCTGTTGTAAGCACCCTTTTGAAAATTCCTTTTTCCTTTAAATGTGCTGACATATTGGAGGATGTGAAGATTTAATTCCTAATTGACAGCTGTTAGATACTTCCACAGGCCCTGACTACCTTAAGTAAAGAACTATCATCCAGGTAGCCAGTTCTCATGCCAGAACCTGCTATTTGAGTCTAAAACATGACCCCTACTCCTGTAAGCACTGCCCAAGTAAACAGTTTGCATCAGAGATTTTGCTACCACAAGCCTCAGCAAACTACAGATAACATTGTAGCTATTTCTACCCAGACCAGATAGCAAACACTTCCTAGTGGCCCAGCAGATCTGATTGGTGCAAACATTTTCCTTCATTTGCATAAGGAACTATCATAACTGGTGACAGGGATTACAGGGGATTATATGACATGATCAGTATACACATAATCCTTCATTTGCATGAGTGGACTGCCATGATTATTGCAGACAACCTTATCATACCACATTTCTGGCTATATAAATAGGCTATTTATTTGGTGAGCAGTCAGGACACCCCTCCCATATTACCCCCTGTTGTCTCAATGACAAGTCCAAAAAAGACTTCTCTGGCATGGTCTGCCTTGACTACTTTTAATTCCTTAAAAAAATTTTTATTACTATTGCACTGGGGGTACATTGTGATATTTACAAAAGTTCTTGTAATACATCATACTTGAATTCACCACCTCCATCATTCTCCTTTATCCCCCCTTTCCCTATTCCTGTACTAGTTTCACCAGGTCCCATTTTCTATTTGCATACATTTGTACAGTGTATTTCCACCATATTCACCCTCTTACACCCTTTCCTTATATCCTCCCTCCTCCTACTAGTACTAATTCTCCAGACAGGACCTGTTTTGCTTCCTGTTCTCCATTTTTGTAAAAAAAAAAATGACATTTTTGTGTTTGTTTAAGATACAGTGTGTTTCATTGTGACATATATATATATATATATATATATATATATATTCCCAAATTGGTTCATTCCATTTTTCCCCTTTCTACCTTAGTCCCCTTCTTATGGTGATTTCACCAGGTTTAAAAATTCTGTGGTCATTCTTGTATAAGAAACACACTATTAGTAGAGCAGCTAAGCTGGTGACAGGAAGGAGGGAAGTGGTAATGGAGGCAGTGCCAGTTGCATGAGAAGAAGTTGCATCCTCCCCTGCAGCAGAGCTGAAAAGCATTGGTCAGAGCTGACAGTGCAAGAGACAGCTCCCAGGATAGCAGAACCATGAGCAGAGCCAAGTGTGGCCATTAGGGTGAAGGCAGCAGAAACAGCATCAGGAGACTGGAGTGGGGGAAGAACAACATCAGGCATACAGCTATTGGTACAAACAGCATAGGAGTTGTTGTGGCAGAGGCAAAGGCAATGAGTTGCAGGGTGGTTGATGTCACCCAGGCGTGAAACTGATAGGAACAGCCAATGGAGTAATTAATGGTGAGAGTGAAAGTGAAACTGACATTGGCTAGTGTAAAGAGACTACTGGCCTTCAATCCCTGCCTGAGGTATGAAAGAGCTATAGCACTTGGTCTCTTCCCACTCCTGAAGCCAAAGTCCTATGCTGTCCCTAGGCTGTCTAAAACCCAGGGTTGACTCCCAACTGCCAGCTGTCATTCATTGCCACTGCTTGCAAACACTTGCCAATGGCCCAGAATGACTGGAGGAGCTTCTCTTCATCTACCCATAATTTCTGCTTGTACAGAACAGAAGGACCCCAGAGAGAGTGAAGAGCTAATGGAAACTTAATCTGGCTGCTAAACCTTGTTCTGGGTTCCAATTCACTATGGTGATGTGTTCATAGATAATATTTTGACTTCTTGATGACATGATCTTTTTAAACCTACCAAACACACAGAAGAATTAAGATGATTGTCACACACACTGAATATAAATAACAGATTTTTTTAAAACATAGTATTACTGTTGTATTTCAACCACGTTATCTGTGAGTTTTTCCACTTGATTTAAACGACTGAATGTCTTTGTGATACATATGATCAACCTTATGGTTCTCTTTCACAATTTAAGTTGCCTTTTAGTCTCACAAAAATCACTGTATATTTAAAGAGAACATTACTGATTATAAAGACTCACTTTACCTACTCATTTCCCAAATATTGGAAACTAAGTAATTTAGTGCTTATTTTTCATGACACAAAATTCTAAATTGTTAATTTGTCAGTCTTAAAGTTTCTTTGTGGATATTGTTCTATAATTTAAAAAGTTCTATGTGTTTTTAAAATATTTCTATCGCTATTTTTATTAATGCCGAAATCTTTAGTTCAATCCAATGTGCATTTGTCAGCACATACCTTATGCAATGTGATATTAGGTAGGGTCACTAAATATAAAACAAGATAGTTCCTGGTGTCAAGAAAGTAATGGCCTGATTTCTTTCTAGCTGTCATTGACGTGAATCATCAGTATAAGTAGCAAGCTTGCAGCATTCCTTCTCAGTTGTGTTAAAACTTGCTGGTGTTCCCCGAGTAGCCACTGAAGTGTGTGTGAACCAGGACAGGCAGAAGAGGCAGGGGAACTCCAGGGTCACCAAGATAAATTTCCAGCAACACTAGTCTGGCTGAGTGCTTTCCAATGGGACGCTGCCTTGTTTTTCATGAGCCTTGAGGAAAATCATAGTGATCCATACGTGAAGCTTTCATTGTATGTAGCAGACGAGAATAGAGAACTTGCTTTGGTACAGACAAAAACAATTAAAAAGACGCTGAACCCAAAGCGGAATGAAGAATTTTATTTTAGAATAAACCCATAGAACCACAGACTCCTGTTTGAAGTATTTGATGAAAACAGATTGACACGAGACGACTTCCTGGGTCAGGTGGACGTGCCTCTTAGTCACCTTCCAACAGAAGATACAACCATGGAGCGACCCTATACATTTAAGGACTTTCTCCTCCGACCTAGAAGCCATAAATCTCAAGTAAAGGGATTTTTGTGGTTGAAAATGGCCTACATGTTGAAAATGGCCTACATGCCGAAAAACGGAGGTCAAGATGAAGAAAACAGTGAGCAGAGGGATGACCCTGAGCATGGGTGGGAAGTTGTTGACTCAAATGACTCAGCTTCTCAGCACCAGGAAGAGCTTCCTCCTCCTCCTCTGCCCCCAGGGTGGGAGGAGAAGGTGGACAATTTAGGGCGCACCTACTACATCAACCACAACAACCGGACCACACAGTGGCACCTACCAAGCTTAATGGATGTGTCCTCTGAGTCGGACAACAACATCAGGCAGATCAACCAGAGGCCGCACACCTAAGCTTCAGCTCTCGAAGGCACATCAGCGAGGACTTGGAGCCCGAGGCCTCGGAAGGTGGGGAGGGCCCATGCCTTGGGAGACCATTTCAGAGGAAGTGAACATGGCAGGAGACTCCCTCGGCCTGGTACTGTCCCTGCTTCCAGCCTCCCCGGTGTCTCGAATAAGCCCTCAGGAGCTGTCAGAGGAGCTGCGCAGAAGGCTTCAGATCACTCCGGACTCCAATGGGGAGCAGTTCAGTTCTCTGATTCAGAGAGAGCCTTCCTCCAGGCTGTGGTCCTGCAGTGTCACCGATGCGGTTTCAGAGCAGGCCCACCTACCACCGCCATCGGTGGCCTAGGTACATACCACGCCAAGCCTCCCTTCAGACTGGGAAGAAAGAAAAGATGCTAAGGGACGTACATACTATGTCAATCATAACAATGGAACCACAACATGGACTCAACCAATCATGCAGCTTGCAGAAGATGGTGCCTCTGGATCAGCTACAAGCAGTAACAGCCACCTACCTAATCGAGCCTCAGATCCGCTGGCCTCATAGCCTCAGTTCGCCAACAGTAATTCTGTCTGCCCCACTGGAGGGTGCCAAGGATTCACCCATACGTTGGGCTGTGAAAGATACCCTTTCCAATCCCCAGTCCCCTCAGCCGTCACCTTACAACTCCCCCAAACCACAACACAAAGTCACACAGAGCTTCCTGCCACCCGGCTGGGAAATGAGGATACCTCCAAATGGCCGGCCCTTCTTCATTGACCATAACACAAGACCACGACGTGGGTAGATCCACGCCTGAAGTTTCCAGTACACATGCGGTCAAAAGCATCTTTAAATCCTAATGACCTTGGCCCTCTTCCTCCTGGTTGGGAAGAAAGAATTCACTTGGATGGCCGCACATTTTACGTGGATCATAATAGCAAAATTACTCAGTGGGAAGACCCAAGACTGCAGAACCCAGCCATCACTGGTCCAGCTGTTCCTTACTCCAGAGAATTTAAGCAGAAATATGACTACTTTAGGAAGAAATTAAAGAAACCCGCTGATATTCCAAATAGGTTTGAAATGAAACTTCACAGAAATAACATATTTGAAGAGTCCTACCGAAGAATCATGTCTGTGAAAAGACCAGATGTCCTCAAAGCAAGACTGTGGATCGAATTTGAATCAGAGAAAGGTCTAGATTATGGCGGTGTAGCCAGAGAATGGTTCTTCTTGCTCCTCCAAAGAGATGTTCAACCCCTGCTATGGTCTCTTTGAGTACTCTGCAACGGACAACTACACACTTCAGATCAATCCCAATTCAGGCCTCTGTAATGAAGACCATTTATTCTATTTCACCTTTATTGGAAGAGTTGCTGGTTTGGCAGTGTTTCATGGGAAACTCTTGGATGGTTTCTTCATTCGACCCTTTTACAAGATGATGTTGGGAAAGCAGATAACTCTGAATGACATGGAGTCTGTTGACAGTGAATACTACAACTCTTTGAAATGGATCTTAGAAAATGATCCTACCAAACTGGACCTTATGTTCTGCATAGACGAAGAAAACTTTGGGCAGACATATCAAGTGGATTTGAAGCCCAATGGGTCAGAAATTATGGTAACGAATGAAAACAAAAGGGAATATATTGATTTAGTCATCCAGTGGAGATTTGTGAACAGGGTCCAGAAGCAAATGAACGCCTTCCTGGAGGGATTCACAGAACTGCTTCCTATCGATTTGATTAAAATTTTTGATGAAAATGAGCTGGAGTTGCTGATGTGTGGCCTCGGGGATGTGGACATGAACGACTGGAGACAGCACTCTACTTACAAAATGGCTACTGCCAAATCACCCTGTCATCCAGTGGTTCTGGAAGGCTGTGCTACTGATGGACGCCGAGAAGCGGATCCGGTTACTCCAATTTGTCACAGGGACCTCCCGAATACCCATGAATGGATTTGCCGAACTTTATGGTTCCAATGGTTCTCAGCTGTTTACAATAGCGCAATGGGGAAGCCCTGAAAAACTGCCCAGAGCTCACACATGCTTTAATCGCCTCGACTTACCTCCATACGAAACTTCAAAGATTTACGAGAGAAACTCCTCATGGCTGTGGAGAACTCTCAAGGATTTGAAGGGGTGGATTAAGGCCTCCAGCCTCCATGGCACGGTCCACCCAGCAAGTTCCTCGTGCGCTTTTGCATTTGCCTAATAGACTTTTGCAGAGCCAGCACAGACAGCAGCTACACAGCCTGGCCTGGCTCTGGGAGCCGAACCTCCTCCGGGCCCAGCCCAAGTTCCACCGCGGGGACACAGCCCTGGCTCGACTCCCGCCTCTTCCACCACCAGTGCTCAACTGGTTGATATCTACACTAACTACATTTAAGGAGGACTTGTCCTATTTATGTGTGCCTCTGCAGGCAAAGCCCTTAATAAGTATTTTGCATAATTTCTGAGACAATGAATGGGATTAATCACTCTACAGGTATAGTATTACAACTCATGTTTACTTTTTTAAATGATTTAGATCGATTCTCAGATTTTATTTCATTACAATTAAAGATGTCTCATGTACTTGGAAAAAAAAAAGAAAGTAATGGCCTAATTCTTGTACATTCATAAAAGAACAATTTGAAAAGACTTTTCTTTTGAATTTCAATAATCTATGCCCTAATAATAGGATAGACAAAATTCTGATTTTCTACTTGTTTTTACAGATTAAATGTACTAAGTTCTAGATAGAGCCCTCTATACAATGAGATTTAGAGGAAATATCCTTTTGCTGTTTTCCTTAGGATGTTAGTGTGCGCTACCTGCAATCTGCTGTCTCTTAATGTTAACTTATATCTTTGTTGTTTTCTATCTGTCTTCTAGTGTCCCATGATTCTACCTTATGATTTTTGTATTGTCTAGTTTCTAGTTTTCTCACTGAATTCCAAATTGTTCACGTCTGTTTGAATTGTTCTCTGTGATTAACCATAGTTTTACTATTACTTACCTTCTGTTCAACTATTGTATCTCAATAACAGTGCTATCTTTTTTTATTTTTTGTAGTAGTGGGGTTTGAATTCAGGGTTTGAACTCAGGGCTCTCTTCACGCTTGTTAGACAGACACTCTACCACTTGAGTCATTCCACTGCCCCTCTCTCTTTTTCTTTTTCAATAATGACTATGTTTCTGGTAGCAAGGACATCTTCTTTCATGCTCAATTACCTTGTCTAAATGCAATTCAAAATATCCAACTCCATTAGAGAGAGAGAATTTGTTTATTTTCCATTGTTAAGCAAAAATTGTAATTTCCACATACAATAAATGTACTTACTTGAGGATGGTAGAGATTTCAAATCATAGTGGCTTGAAATCATACAATTTAAGAGATGACTTCATTTAGACTTGACTTCAAAGGATGAATTTTGATTTTTGATTTACATTCACAGCAATATTAAAATGATCATCATGTATATTTTGATTGCTATAATATAAACTCATACTTTTAATTTAAGTGTCATTAACCTGTTAATGTTTGCCAAAAACCCAATTCTATCACATAAACAATAACACAATATAGTAGAAGGAATAAATGATTTAGAGTCCAGTTTTTCTAGAAAATGTGATAAAAAATATTTTATGTTTATTGTAGGGAAACCATTCATATGAAATACTTTTGTAAAATACAACAAAATTTTTAAATTTAATTAAGCAATAAGAAATCAAGTTGCTTATGTACATTAGAATAATTTTGAAGGAGAATATTTTGGTTATATAAAATAAGAATCTAGAAGTCCTGCTTTTAGAGTTGTTGCAAAACTATGATTGCTTCTTGATTCTCTAAGATGTAAAACAGCACATGTGAAATTCCCCCAGGCTGACATCATTAGTTTCACTTTGATATTCTTCAGTTTCTACTAGCTACTATTCAGTTTATATTAGCTTTACTACCAGGGAGACATGTTTGTTTATTTTTCTAAATGGGTCTACAATAATGTAAGACTATAATGAACAGAATATATCTGGTATCATGCACATTAATTTCTCATTTTAACCATGATCTTAAAGACAATACAATTATCATTGAAAGAGTAAGAATGTTAAGAAAGACTGAGGAAGAATCTGAAAGAGTTAATAAGTGAGTTGTATGTTGAGGAGAAAGCTGTCTTAAAATTAAAAGCTGGTCACTACCTTGAATGTCATAGCCATCCAACAGAACCATAGAGTATAACTGGCCCAGCTAGAACAGCACTAGGGCAGCCTGAAGGGGCGCCCAGGTGCCAGAAAACTTTGTAGTCACCCAGATTAGCAACACCCTTAAGATTGTGAGAATATGGGGAAACAGTTAATCCATTCAAAAGTCGTATTACTATTGATTAGGAAAGAGAATTAGAAACTTATTACTTGACATACTTTGTTTTCTGAATAACTTAGAAATGTTTATTGTACCTTATTTTTTGAATTCATCCTTCTCTTGTTGTTTGTCTCTAAATTCAATGTATACCTTAAACATTCTTAAACATTACTAATAGACATAACACAAACTTTCTTTCTTTTTTTTTTGCGGTACTAGGATTTGAACTCAGGGCCTACACCTTGAGCCACTCCACCAGTCCATTTTTATGAGGGTCTCACAGAATTATTTGCCTGGATTGGTTTCAAACCATAATCCTTTTGATCTCTGTCTCCTGAGTAGCTAGGATTATAGGCAAGAGCCACTGGCACCCTGCTACCGACTTTCATTTAGCTAGAACTTTAAAGCTAAATAAAATTGCCTTTTATCACATTATGCCCATACTTAGCTTGAAGATAAATCTGCCAAAATTTTAAGTATAAATTTTTCCATATTCACTTTCAAAGGCAAAATTAGGAGACATATTACTCCTAATGAGAAAAAATTAGGACAGGTGAAAGTAACATCATGTATCCAATTTAATTCACTAAGTGTTTATTGTTTAGATGATACCCTATAATAGAATCTACACTAGATGCTGGCAACACAGATGGAGAAATAGGAAAATGTCCCTATTTACAGAGAGCTCACAGGCTCACATAGATCTAACTAAGTATCACTGCTAAGTGTATATACTTTAAAAAGTTTGAGATTTTCATTGTTTATTAAGACAAAGAGTGATTTCTAGTTTTCAAAAGTTATCATGAAATCCAGTTATTTGAAATCTGTCCAACAAGTATGTATTCTTTATCCCATAGTTTTCCAATTTCTAATTTTTAAACATATATGCATAAACCATTAATAATGCATTCTACTATTTTAAGCTTTACAAGCTGACATTTTAAAAAAGAGTACCTTTTAAAATATGAACTTTTGTAGACTCTGATCAGAATTGTGGAGTGGGCCTGGGGATATACCTAAAGGAATGTGACACAGGTTACTCCAGAGGCATCTGCACACCAATGTTTGTTGCAGTGCTATTCACAATAGCCAAATTATGGAAACAGCCAAGATGCCACACCAGGATGAATAGATTAAGAAAATGTGGTACTTATACACAATGGAATTCTACTCAGCCATGAAGAAGAATGAAATCTTATCATTCACAAGTAAATGGATGGAATTAGAGAACATCACCCTGAGTGAGGTTAGCCAGGCTCAGAAGACCAATAATCGTATGTTCTCCCTCATATGTGGACATTAGATCATGGGCAAACACAACAAGGGGATTGGACTATGATCACATGATAAAGCAAGAGCATACAAGGGAGGTATGAGGATAGGTAAGAAACCCAAAAAACATGATAGTATTTGATGTCCTCAATGCAAAGGAACTAATGCAGATACTTTAAAGCAACAGATGCCAATAGGAGAAGGGTACCAGGAACTAGAGAAAAGGTCAGTTTGAGAAGAATCAACTTAGAATGTAACACACATACATACATGGAAGCAATGCTAAGAATCTCCCTGTATAGCTATCCTTATCTCAACTAGCAAAAATGCTTTGTTCTTGTTATTGTTTATATTGTCTCTTCAACAAAATTAGAGATAAGGGCAAAACAGTTTCTGTCTGGAAGCGAGGGGGTGGGGGTGAGTGGGCAGTAGGGGGCAGAAATAAACCAAACATTGTATGCACATATGAATAAACGAAAAAAAATTGTGGAGTGGGAGAAGTAGACGCTGAGAGTTCTAGAACCTGAAAGTTTTCCATAGATAAACATTCAAAAATATCTAACTCTGAAATTTTAAGAACTTTTGACATGTTTCATTATCTCTGACTTATTTAAAAATTATTATCAATAGCAATATGAACATATTCTTGAATCTGGCTTATAGTTTAATAATCTGTTAGAATAAAGTCATTTGAAATTGAATCCATATTTTTATTAATAATGATTGAAGTAATGAAATCTGGGGAAATACATAAGAAGATATTGCATGCCTTTTACTAAGTTTTGTTCACCTGAGAAAATATGTTAATGTAAATAATTGTTGTGTTAAAATTATAGCCAAACATATCTGCAGGTTTTAAGCTGTCTAAACTAATTTTATGTTCTCAATGAATAATGTTTAACATTTGAACCAAAAACAGGTTGGCAGGAATAATTAAAGGCTTAAGTTAAATACATAGACAGTCATTTAAATTTAGATCTGCAATAACATTTACTATTATTCTCCAAGGCTTTGACTACTTGACAGAAACAAAGTATTCTGGGATTAATTTCAAGAAATAGTGCCAACTGTGCCGCAATTTGCTGTAATTAAGACATGAAAGAACACTAAATATTCAGATTAAAAGAAGCATGATGGAGCATGATAGAGAGTCAAGGTGTGGCAGGGAGCCAATAACAAAAGTCCAGGGATACCATATTGGTGGACATGAAAACAGCACCTGCAAAATGCCACAAGATTTCTTTTTTAAAGAATCAGATGGGTTTATTATTTTAGTCTTTGATTATATTTCATGTCTTTCTCAAATTTAAGGCTGAGACATCATGTGTTAGAAAGATAATGAAACTAAAACAGAAAATGACAAACATAGTGTTATCATAAAGCTAATTAGTTTAAGTGATGTGGAGAAGTCATTAGGAGAATATAATCATTATCTTTATGGTAGAGAGATTTCCCTGTGTGTTGCATTAATATAGTTTCCTTTAGAGGTAAATGAAAGAGCTCTATAGGTGTTAACTCAAAGAGATAAAGTACA